GGTGGTGGTGGTGGTGGTGGAGGAATAGGTGGTGGAATAGCAACAAAAATAATAGGGATAGTTAGTAATGATAGAAATGATAAAAGTTGCCGTGGATGCTAACAATCTTGCAGAATTGCGGAGTTTAGTATAGTAAGGTGATGCAGGTTTTGTCGTACAAACAGTACTGCGTATAGCCCTGGCAGGCCCTGCAGTACGCCGGCAGCATGCTGAGGGGACCTGAGGACTACTTGGGACTATGATTTGAAGCGGGGTGGCTTAATTACGGCACGCCTTCTTTAGATAGGGATTATCTGGGGATTATAGAGTCATAATAGGAAGGAACATGGAAAGTACTGTCTAGGGTTTGAGGATGTTGGGGTTTAGAGGGTTGATAGTTGAGGGCATTGCGGAGTTCATTCAGGCCGGCACCTCAGTCCTGGGTTAAGAAAAGGGCTCAATGCCCAGTGTCCTTTTCTGCGTCCTCCTACAACAACAGCAAAAGTATTCTTGATTTGATGAAAGGCGCCAAAGTTTTGACAACTGCTGATTTGGTAGTTTCCCAAAGCGGGACGAGAACCTGTTTGTCTTCATCTGAACCATGTGGGGATGACGAGTTTTTGCATGACACGGCTTGAATGGGTCCCTGAGAATCGCTGTCCCTGCATGGGGTCCTAGCATGAGAATCTCAATATTCAGGGTCTGCCTTTGTGGCTCCCCCGTTCTTGGGTATACGTCTGCTTACTGGACAAAGGGGTGAAATCACGATCCGGGCTCGGTCGAAAGCCGGCTTAGTATTGTCAGAGTTTCGCTTTAAGACTACATGTAAAGATTTGCCGAGAACAGGACCATGCATCCTGCTGCTGATCCTTCAGCGCCATGTGGGATGCGTTATCTTGCAGTGTCTTGAGTTTCCTCTGCACCCAACTGATGACAAGCGGGGGGATCATGGCCTTTGAGACAGCCTGACCCCCACTTCCAGACAAGAAAAACAAACCGCCTCTCGTGACAAATAGGGCTTCCCTTCACCCTGGGGCGCTTCCAAAGGTGCATGTAGAAACCTAGATCATAGCCAATTTCATGGTCCAAGGTGCCCTGTATGATTTTGGTACGGGTTTTGGAATATGTGGGTCACATCAAATGGACTTCAAAAAATAAATGATATTGGTAGCCATTCAGGGCCTTGTATTGTTGCATCTTCGCCTTTCAACGAAGCATTCGTGCGATTGGCTTTGGCAAGTCTCTCCCCAAATCTAAGGAAGTTTTCGGTAAATGGCTTGCCCCATATGAGCTTTACAAAGCCTTTATATTGTCCAGTGTCCCCATGCAAATCTTATACTAACCTTATGTAAGGGTAGCCTCAAAACTTCCTTAATCAAAGGTTAGGAGTATGGGCCCCTAATGGGGCCCTTAGGCCTTTTAGGGGACTTCCAGGGACCCTTGAGGGTACACAGAGGGTGGTACATAAGGATCCCAGGGTTAAGGGCCCATACTAGGGGCCATGGTTTTAATCTTAGACTTAACCAAAGGAGCGCAGCTTGGTAAGATGGCTGGCACGAAGAGCCGAACAGAAGTCAGGCCAGTTCACTATCCACGCGGTCAAGGGTTTGGGGCTTAGGGCTTAGGGTTATACAGGGATAGTGGAGATGAAAATGGAAACTACAATATCATAATAGGGTATATAAATTGGGGTTATGGCAGATCATGCTCTACAAGAAATATGAGGAAGTTCTATGTTGGGATTTGTGGTCATTCAGAATTAATCGTCAAGGTGCTCTTGTTGGACACGTGGCGGGGCATGAAAGGAGATCATTACCCCTTTTGTAGGGAGTGGCTTGCTTGCACAAGGCCGGATGATGTATGGTTACATGGGCCCATCCCATCTAAGCATCTTCCTGCTAGGGATAGCTGCTTCTTGCATCCAAGGCTAGTTAGAGCGTTTCATTGAGGTTGCAGGCATCGCAGTAAGGATGCTGTTTGCCTATATCTCTTGAGCTGAAATTAGGGTAGCAGGTTTGATGCGCATTTCCATATCATCCCAGGGTGCCATTTACTGTACTAGTTTTCTTGAGTTGGGATCAGGGGATCAAGTTTGGCAAGTCTCCATATCATCCCTAGATCTGGGCCGAGAAGCACAAAACGCTTCTAAAAAAGACTCCCTGTTAAAGGTAACCCAATCTTCCTGCTGTTGCTTTGGAGGCAGCCTCCTAAGTTGAAGGGTGACTGCGTGAGACCCGCACGGAAGTATCAATTGCCTCGAAAAGGGCAGAGATGGGATAGATGTGAATGTCTGTGACTTTTGGTCTTGCAGGAAGTTGAAAGCATGAAAGCTCCAGCGCCATGAAGCGACAGGCGAACCACTCCGTTCTGAAGTCTACAGGTGCGACAGTGCTCTCACCTGGTCCTCGCGTATTCGGAGCTCCAGAGCAGAAGGCCAGCGCTGGAGCTTCAATACCAGGCTCCAGCGCAGAGGATGTACGAGCTCCCAGCGGCAAGGAGAACAGGCCTGAGCGGCGTGAAAGGTCGGGCTCGGTAAGCCGAGCACCCCTCGGCAAAGGAACTGACTCCGTGCCGCTGTCTGGGCTGAAGGACCCTGAGGACCTGAAGCAGGGAGGATCCCGGCCGCCACGCGGGCGTTCGAACTCGGGCTCGCAGCCAGCCACTGCAGCTTCAGCTGCAGTCGAGCAGACAGCTGCCTCCAAAGCTCCAGTTGCTTCTGAGGCTCCTACCAGGGCTCGTGGCAGCAAAGGTAGCAAAGAAGTTCCGGCATCGAGCCCATCTTTGGCCTCTGAGTCAGGACGTCGAGGTAGAAGACCCTCCCGAGAACAGCAAGAAAAAGCCCTTGACGATGAGCTGGAAGCTCTTCTCAAGGGAGTGGAGGAACCGGTTCCACCTGCATCGGCTGTGAAGGAGCCGGTCAAGGAGCCTCCAAAGGAGCCTCCGAAGGAGCCCGCAACATCTGCCACGGCAGTGGCCCAAGCCACGGAGGTACCGGGCCAGGAGCGATGCACAGTTTGCGGGACTCAGTTCCAGAACGGCCAGAGCATCTACGAGAGCTCTGTTGCTGGCCAAAAGCAGGTGCTGTGTAGCGGCTGCTGGTCTCAGGTGGCACCGCACTGCATCGCTTGTGGCAAGCTCATTTCGGGACCCATGGCAAAGGTCGGCGATGACGTCTACCATCAAGAGTGCCTGAAATGCGCTATATGTTCCAAGACCATTGACGGGGCCCTCTCCAAACTGGACTGCGGCATTTGCTGTGGCGCTTGCACTGATGAGGTGGACAAAGACTTGCGAGAGCTTCGGAAGCTTTGGCAGGCTGGCGACCTCGAAGGCGCCGCGCTCCTGGAAGGGAGCCTGAAGGCCAAGGGATGAACAGAGAGAAGTGCAGGGCAGAGCAGGGTTCAAGTAAGGCCCCAAGCCTGAAACCCTCTCCCTGAAGGCTCGAGGCATCAAGCCACCAGAGCTGAAGAGACCAGACCTCGGGCACTGCAGCTCCTGTCAGCTTCCTTTTAGGCCAGGACAGCAGGCAGGATTTTGTCCAACGTGAGCTGATTTGCCATGTCTCTCTCCCCTCTCCCACATTTGGGTGGCCGCGGTACTTCCTACCTCAGTCCATGCGTTTGAGCAATTCAGAGGGGCTTGCTTGACTCACTTGTCCAGAAACTCTATGGCTGGAGCTTGAGTAGCTTTGCAGCCTGGCCAAAGTCAGAAAGGTGTGTGGCCCTACACCCTAATTAAACCCTAAACCCTGATCTGCCCAGACAGGTTTACCAGAAGGATCAGGATTCCAAGATGGTTTGTGAAGCCTGCTACCTCTCGGCGGCCCCCTGCTGTGCAGTTTGCTCAAAGCCTGTCGTGGGCACGGTCGCCAAGGCAGGCCTCCTTGGAGCACAGATGCTTCAAAAAAAAAAGGCTGGTTCTTGATCTTGCTGACTTCTTAGGAATTCTTCTGCCCCAGAACCACCGATGTTAGGAAAAAGCCCAGAGGTGGGGGTTCTCTAAGTGCAGCCGCAGTCGATGTAGCAGCGGCTCAGCTAGTCTCACAGAGTAGATCCATGCTTCTTGGCCCTTTCAACCCGAAGTTTCCATTTCATGTTCCATGTCTCGCCCATTAGGTTTTCCATTACTGGAAGTACAAATATGATTACTGTCATTATTGCTGCATCTTGGTCCCTTCCATCCCAGATCCCCTTTCCAGGTGGGAGACAACAGCTATCATCCTGAGTGCTTAGTCTGCTCCAGCTGCGCTAAGCAGATCTCTGGATCTTTCGCCCAAACAGAGAAAGGTTTCGTATGTGCGGAGTGCCAGGCAACCTCAGCTTCCTGACCAAAGGACACGGGGAATCGTATCGTCTTCTCTTGAAGAACTAGGCTCAGTATGCTGTTCGATTCATTATTACCTACGGTCATTGGATTATTCATCAACTAGGTCATTGCTGGTATCGCTTCATTTTGTTTTGCCTAAACATATTAGCCTCGTCGGCCGAAGCAGGGTTCACACGCAAGCAGTTGTTGCCGCACCATGGCGGCGTTCGTATTTAATGCGTTTCACCTTTGGCCAAGCCGCTTGGCTTCGCCGGGAGTGAGGAGACCGGGGACAGCCGGAGATCTAGGTGGGCATGGTACGAAACACTAATCTACTCTACAGGAGCAGGCAAAACATGGAAGTGGATGAGGCATGTAGCCTCGGGCCTAGTCAGAACTTGAGTCCTGCCCACCTAGTCAGATACACAGCTTTGAGGAACCCAGGAGGGCACAGCATGGCTGGAGTTGAATGAAACCATCCGTTCAGATAATTTACTCAATCGCAAGATTGAAGACATGATAAGATACGAGCAGTCGCAAATCTTACTTCAAAGAGGATGTTCCGAGCCTTTGAATGGAGTATTTGGGCAGGGGTTCAGAAAGTTGGCAATAGACGTCTTCATTAAACCTCCCTCGAGCTCTGGAGATAGATTTACAGGGGATATTCTGCTGGGACCCCAAAACCCAAACACATTAACGAGGGTCTTCAAAGATCGACCTGCAGCTATTTAGGGCGGCGGCTGAACCACATTGAAGAGCGGCCCTGTTGCAATCAAGCGCAACATTTGCAATGGCAGCAGCGCAAAATGGTAGCATTAGCATCATAGAGAAACCGAAGAGATGTCGTCTTCACGATGAGCACAGGCAACAACAAGCCATTCGTTCAAATCCTCATGTTAGGGGTATTGCCAGGCTGTGTATCCTCGGGTTGTCACAGCCGTTGGTGGACTACACGGTGCGTGCGCTGCCCGAAGGGCAATGCAGCACGACTCCGGCTCCACGATGGCAGTGTACAGTACATGGCAAAGACGATGGACGAGGGATGTGAGAAAGCAGGGGACAGTGGTGCTGCAGATTTCTGCCAATGTGTTGTTATCACATGTGGTTCTCAGTCCTGGCATCTCAGCAACCAACACTCACACTGACGACCAGGTGCTCATAGGGCGGAGGAGCGGGACGTGACCTTCAACATGCAGACACTTCAAAATCCCCGTGTGACTTGAAGAACCACGTCTTATCTTTAAAGACTCTAAAGCATGCCTACAGGACTCTTGAGATTGGATTTGCCTCCGCTGGCTCCGATACCAACTACTGTACACAGAAGTCAGGCCTACAAAGCAGAAGAAATCTCCATGTAGCCTCTATTCAGCATTCTCTACTAGCCCTGTCTGGCTCACACACTATAGGTGAAGCATGGTAAAGCTAAGCCCTGTAAACACAAAGCTGCATACTCCGCGCAAGGCAACAGCCTGTGCTTCGCCAAGTCGCGTCAAGCCAATGGCTTTAGCTACGCCCGCTGCTGCGAGGAGCCTGAAGTCCTGAAGCTGTTGGAGCAAAATGGAAAAGAAAATGGAAACTACTACACAGTATATTGGGGTAATATAGGGATAATGGAAAAGAAGATGGAAACTACTATAGTATATTGGGGTTATAATAGGGTTAATATTGGGGTAATATAGGGATAATGGAAAAGAAAATGGAAACTACTATTTTATGATTCCTATGCTAGCGCTTTTATACTTCCCCTGCCTTCCCCTATAGCCTGCAGCACTGACCGATGGGCAACAAGTTGGATCCCTTGGGTATGCGCGGCCACCCTTGCCAAGGCATGAACATTCCGCCTTCCTGGCATGCCTTCCGACATGGCCTGTTGCAAAGGGTATCAAAGGGTCCTTGATTCTTGCCGCCTAGGCAGTGGACTCAACATAAACGCTCGAGTTGTTTGTGCACCCTCGCAAGTAGAAGGACCTAAGAGGCAGCAGGAAAAGAACCCCAAATCTTTTCCAGGAGCCTACTAGGCCATCCATTTCAAAGCTTGCTAGTTCCTGGTTAAATTCAGGATTCTAGGCTAATGCCTTGCCCACACGCCCAGCAGATGGTAGCTATGCAGGTCTGAATAGTCAAGAGCCTAGTCCCTCGCGTGAGTCGTTATCAGAATCACCCCAACACCAGCAGGAGCCTGCGGCAGATTGCTTCGACGGCGAAATCCTCACAGAATTGTCGATGGCTGAGTCAAGAGTTGTTAGGTCGGTTTCAAGCCAGATTCCATCCATGCTCTGCAGTTGAGGTTCTGGGTTTTTCTGATTACTTGTGGGACGTGTCGGTAGGACCCCTACCTGCGAAGGTTGCCACGAGATGACTCTCGTTGCTGATTCTGAATGGTGCTGCTGGCTCAAGATCAGCTTGCACAGGGTTATGTAGCCTGCGGCCGCAGGATGGAGAAGGTTGAGATCCAGGAGCAAAAGCCAGAAGAGGCTGGTGGCACCTATTTCGCCTGGTTGACAGGGACTGGCCTGGCTGGCTATGCACCACCTGAAAAGCAGGAAAGGACACCCGGGCTGATAGCAGCAGAGTTTTCCGGGTATTCGCACGTGGGCCGTCTGGCCTGCCAGCAACAAGCAGACATATCAGATAGTCAAGTGTTCCAAACACTACTGACTTGTAGCATCTAGACTACGCCTATAGAATAGTTCTTCCAGCCGCGAGCAAAGAATAAAAGCAATGCATCAGGGTGCACGGGAATGACGTTGTTTTGCTCGCTTTTAGCAAACGCCAGCGTTCAAAAGCACTGGTGTCAGGCGCGGATCCAGACGATCCGGCCATCATTGTCGTTGTGTAGATAGTGAAAATCCTAACCAGGTAGCATCCTTGGCTCTCTGACTGGTTACCATTATAGATATCATCAGTGTTACGTAGTAGTTATACCGTTATACCTACCTGCGTTTATTACCCTCCTTGCTCGGTTGAGGGGTAGGTCACATCACTCTTCCAAAGCAAGAGCAGGGCTCCCCTGAAATGAGGAAGATTCCGAATCTTCTATGTTTGGCTCTGTTTGGAAGTTCTTGTTACAGGGGGGGAAGCGGAATTTGATAATAGATGTTGCTCTTGGGTCGGGAAGCTTTAGCGAAGAGATACAAAAAAAACAGCACCTCTCAAGGACTGCTGAGCAGATCAAGGCTGATCGCTATGCCACGCAGATGCTGGCATTTGATCGGGTGATCACCAACTGGCGCTCCAGGTTTGCTTGGGGTTTAGGGTTCAGGGTTCAGAGTGGGTGAAATGGGGATCCTATCGTATCTGGCGGTATATCATATAGCAGGCAGGTTTGTCCGGAATCTCGGCCTGGGTTTGGAGACAAATATGTTTTAACCTGTCTCTGCGGAAGGAGCATAGACAAGAAGGATGCGCTGGTACATTGTGACCACATCCTGGAAAACATCAAAGCCATCGGCACAGTTGATGGTGACGTTGCCCCTTGGCAGATAACCAGCCCTTCATTAAGAACTCTTTCGGGCCCCTGCTGCGACTGTACAAGCCCATAGCCCCAGAAGCTTGCCGAAGACCAGGCCAGGACGATGCTTAACGAGCGGGGTATTGATGACTCCAGGAGGCAGGAGCTCCAGCCCCTGGGCTGCCCTTTGATAGCAAGAATAATAGTAAGAATGATAACAATAATAGTAACCATAGTAACAACAAGAGTAATAATGATAACAACAACAGCAACAAATAAGAACATGAAGACCCCGAAGAACTTAGAGCAGCGTGGAAAATTGTCCTGCTACATGCACATTTGCGGTAGTTCTGGTGGTGGTGATGGTGATGGCACCGCTTGCGTTGGCCGCAGCACCACTCATTCGCAATACCCAGATGTACATATGCGTGTTGCTTATCACAGAGACAGCAACAATCAGAGTAAGATATCGTGTTAGTAGAACTGACCATGACAGCCAGAGGAATCCCCATACCCTCAAGAAGGAGCAGATGGAATTGTGCCCACGGTATTCCCCTGGACAAGCTCCGAAAGCAGTTCGTCACCTGTTGAGCCTAGCGCCTCTTGAAACAGTGACCGGCAATCCCAGGACATCCTATGGGGAGCTGAAGCAGATGTGTGGACACAAGGTGCTGCCGACTTTCAAAGTTGCCATGTCACTGATGTTCCGTTTTTCAGATGCCGTACCATGTCATGCTCAAACCTTGAGACTGCCATGGAATTGATTTCTAGCGGCTTAAAGTCGGATCTGTAAGGCCATTCACAGCAAGCGACATGCTCCAACCTGTCCAGCAATCTCATGTGCCCATTAGATCCCATGGGAAGGGAAGCCATTGAAGCCAGGCACCTCTTGTACTGCGTTCCCTGGCAGGTGCCAGCTTTTGCAGGGCCGGGCTCACCGAAGCAGGTGCAGTCAGTCTGCCCCGTTTGCTGAGTTCTCAGAAGGTACCGCTTTTAAAGCCGGCATCTTCCTTTTGCCCAGTCATGCCACAAGATTTAATATGCGGACAAGATTCGTTAGCGGTTGCTGCAGGCAAAGCCCGCAGCATCCCCATTCTGCCATCCGATATCTAAGTCGTTGTCAATCTCAGCTTGGAAAGCTCACGCCGTAACAACGGCGATGCAGAATGCTCTCCAGAGCTGGCCTTAGGTATTGCTTAGGTGACCCCGACTCAGCAATAGTGACTGTAAGGGATAATGCAGGGGGCGCGCAAAGAAATAATGGTGATCATATTCGGGCCCTATAATACCACTACTACGGGGTGGGGGGTCCACCTAAGCTATTATACTCTCCGAGGCATAGGCGCAAATTAAATCGGACGACTTAAAGACAATGCCGCTTACGTCGCCAAAAGTTGCCAGAGCCAAGAAGCCGGTACATATATTAGCAGTACTACTGTTACTACAATAAATCTTCTTAGCATTTGTGTTATCATTATTGCTGTTATCATTCTTACCCTGCTATGTCTATTTTTTACGTTTACTCTGACTATTATTAATCTCACAGATGTCGAAAATTATGTTGATCCCTTCTCCCTTGGACGGTTGCTGCACGGGACTCAGGTCCTGTTGCCGAAGCCACAGGCACCGTTGTTCGGATTTGCGCCTCCACTCCGCGGATCCTTCGGATGTTCAAGCGGTGTTGCGGTGGATACTCAAAACCCAAAGTACCTTACACCTTGGGAATCATGGTGCTATAGCATCCGGGTCATGCAGGATTTGATATCAACAGTATGTGCATGCCTACTCTTTGGTTTGCTCTCACCACTGGTAGTTCATTGTAATTCTTGATGCTACTGTGGCCGTTTTTGGCGGGTTGTACATCGAAATGTCACTGGACACGGGTAAATCACAGAGGTAGGGCTTCTTTCAGGCCTGCTCCAAGGGTTAGAAACAAATGCAGCGTGTCTGCTGAGGAGTATGTCTTCGGAAGAACTGCGCCGGCAGAGCTTGGAATTGAGGCCTTGGCCTTATAGGATAAGCTACTTCCTTCTGTGGGCACATGGAGGGTAGGGGAGGAAGCGCGCAGTTGTGTTTTTAAAAGAGGTGTTGAGTGTGAGTTCTGCAGACCTACCACAGGAACTGAACTTGTCCTGACTCTTTATGTTGTTTCGCTGCTACAGGAACTGCGCGCTTTTGGGAGGTAAGTAGCTCAAAGACGCCGCAGTGCGATGCACGTGCTACGCCTTGATCAGATCTTGACGGATCCTCTTCGCTGTATGGGTGACGATCTCTATCGGGACTACTTCGAGGAAGTCCGCACCCGCATCTCGGTCGTGGTTGAGACTGTGAGGCTTTGCAGGGCTTGGGATTAGAAGGTGCAGGAATTTGCTCGGAATTTGGGAAAGCACTTGCAGCTTTGGAGCTTTTCGGTTTGCATCCTTTTGGGCGTAAAACCCACTGGCACCAAACACAAAGAGCCAATCACACTATCCACATGTGCTTATTCCACTAGAGACCCCACTAAGGACCCCAGAAAGCATCTACACAAACATCGCTCCACCTAGCAGATAGAGATGATAGTTTCCCTAAGAAGGGGACCCCAATATAGTCTCCAAATTAATTCCTCTTATCCTTATTATATGGACCCCGCTAATTTTAGGGCAGCCCCCAGATGATGATCCAGAACATCAGGTGTCGTTGGAAGCTGCTGCCAAGCATTTCTGTTACTCCTTTACTCGAAGCATTCTTCTACTTTTGCTGCTGAGAGACAGCATTTCTCATAATGGGCAATAACGCTCGCTGACAACAATCGATCCCAACTGCTTCAAGCCTGACTTTACGCACAGGCATGGAGGAGAAGACGACGGAAGAAACACGGCAGGAGATGGTATAGTTAAATGTAGCTAGATGTCGCGTCCTGACCGTTTGCAGCAGGCAGTTGCGTGAATAACTGTAAGCCTCCTGGCATGCTCACACCTGACAGCAGGACGGTATCCTTGGGACGCGCGCGGAAATGCTTGTGGCCAATCAGGCTCACCCAACACTGATCCAGCCGATATGCAATGGTCCACTAGGCTACTGACTTGGGGTGCTTGTCCCTATACGCTTTGTGATACGCATCTACTGTGGGTTGTACAGCTCAACTTGCTTTTGACAATGGCCAGTCTTGATTTGGGAGGCCCCGCAGCTGGTGGAGAGCTGTCCAGAGGTCTCCCTTCTAGGCAAATGCTGATGCACCATTCCAGTTCGAATTGTGGCAGTGATTATCGTCGTGACATGGAGAGTGGGGGACATGCATCAGCGACTAGTCACACAGCAGCAGCAGTGGCAGCGGCAGCAGCACAGAATCAGAAAACTAGTACTTCCGGCTAAGGCCCCCCGGAAATGCAGATCTACTTGAAGTTCGTAAATGTCGGCAAGCCAGCCAGGAAACTGAGGAGAAAGCATGTGCACTTTGGGTCCATGGCTGTGACCTCATTGTGTTTGGAGGCCGCATTGTGGTTACCCAGCGCATCTGCCAAAATCTGCTGCAAAACCCAATGTCCCCAGAGGCACAGGACAAGTGCCTGGGCAGATCAAACCAGGCTCGTCCGGTTTGGGATTTGGTAGTTTCCATACATAACGGCAACCCAAAATAGACCGCAAAGTACCATAATCCTTGTTATGGTGTTTCTTGTCTGGGGTCTCCCTGATGTTATTTGAGACTCGGACTTTGGGGATTTGGGGCTCATTGTTTAGAGAACCCAGCCTGCAGTCCATTCCAGATCCCTAGCTTCCAGTTCAGTCGGGAAAACCCGACATAATCCTCCACAATCTATACGACCCCTATAACCCAGACCCCTCACAGAACCCCTATATCCCTATAGAATCCCCAGAACCAACTGTTGGGCATGAAGACCCTTAGTCCCTTTGTTCAGCTGTAAGATTGGGGGTTCCCACAATCTTATAATTTTCTGGGATCGATGTCGGGGCAAAAAACCTAAATCCTAAACCCCTATACCCTATACCAGTACAGCGGTCTGAGGCAGGAACCCTAAACCCTCAACCCCTGTACCTTATACCCAAAGCCAGTACAGTGCTCTGAGGCAGGAGAAGTTGATCGTGGATGTGGAAGATGTTCTACCAAGCCTAAGGGCTAATCAGTCACGCGGCTGTGTTGATATTATGGTGGATGCACAAAATCCTGCATGATCCCATATTGGGGCTTCCGAAAAATTAGGGGTCTTTTCGGGGATCCCTACAAGAAGGATTCTCGCGTTTTTGGGTATGTATTGGGGTCCCCCTCTCTTGGGAAATTACCATATACCTAGACCCGGGGAATTGTGCCATTATAGTTGACTCAGGGTCATGTAGGATTTTTTGTCCACCAACAGTTGCATTCGGACCAGGTTGCATTTGAAGCCTCAGGGTTGTCCGGGGGGTGGACAGATGCCGTAATTTCCTGGTCATGCTTAAAGATAGCCTGAAGCACAGCACGTCTCGCAGAGCAACGTAGTTACCACCTGGGGGTTCCACAAGTCAGCATTGCGGGTGCCATTCGAGTAAAGACGAAACGGTCAAGCTTTGTAAAGAAGAGGCAGGCCCACATGCATGGCCCAATTCTTCAAAGTCCCTCACGGACTGGCAAGGGCATTTGGATTCTTGACTGGACTGCCGGAGCATGTCGTCTACGATCTGCTATCTGGCGCATGCAGCTGGGCTTGCAACTTTTGGTGGTAGTCTCCCAAAATAGGGGGAACACAATATAGACCCCAAGATACTCTAGTCCTTATTATGGCAAGAGGTACCCCGTAGACCTTGAGGACCAAACTCGCTGAGAAAGACCACGTGTGCGAGCTCATGGGTGCAGGCATGGGAACATCATCTGAGGTGGCAAAATGCTGCAGGCGAGGTCGCATGGTGTTTGGACTGTCGGTGACTTGCAAGATTTGATACTTGACTTATTTACCCTTACCCCTAAGCCCATACCCAGGAAAGGCCCATGAATTAGGGCAATATTTTTCAGGTTGTACCACCCGGGTGCTCACCCCAGCATTGCCAACCGCTGGTGGCAGAAATGGCTTTGTTGTTGGGGCTCGTACATAGAGTTGAGGTTGTAGGGTGGAGACAGCCAGCCAATGTGGTAGTTTCCACAAATAGAGGATTTGAGAACATGTTTCAGTTTCTCGGAGCGCAAAAGCCCACCACCGCAGGGGCGAGGCCTTGGTAATTTTCTTGCCGCTGCCCAAACCCCAGATTCTCGGAAACAGCCATGAAGAAAGGCTTGCTGCCCAGCAGCCCAGCGTTTTTCAATGCAAGCACGAACAGGCTGAGCGAGAACCTGATGAAGTCCGCCAGGCCAGCTTCTTAGCTTTCTTGTTGTAGCATATAATATAGTATAGTGTAGTATCATGTAGCATAATGTAGTATGAAATAGCATATTCTTCTCCTACAGACCGGACGATGCGATTCAATTCCATCTTGTCAGTGTGACAGAGGAGGTCTCGAGATCACACCAGACCCATCAGAAAAAAATGGCACCAACGCCGTGGTAATGGGGCTGCAAACATGCGGCAGCCTACAATGACCAAGTGGTAGTTTTCCTAAATTAGGGGACCCCAATATAGACCCCAGAATACTATAATCCTCACTTTGGGACCCCAAAATGGTATCTCTAATTTTGGGAAATTACCAAGTATGGCGATGG